GAAAACTGAAAAATGATGGATTCAGGTCGCCCATGCAATGGTTGTTATTTTTCCTGTACTTTTACTTCAGAAGTTGCCTTGTATTTCTCTTAGAGTCATATGCTTCTCTTTACTGACTTCCCTGATGTTCTCACTGTTTTTGCAAATGCAGTATATAATGGAGGTAAAAGTAGTATGTAGAAAACCTTAAAAACTAAGCAAAGACAGCAAACACACCTTAGTAGAATAAGACCAATGTGATGGTTGAATCTTTATGCCTCATGCTGGTAGCCAGCTCAGTTGCTGAATCTTGTTTGGGAACTTACCTCATATGTCATTAGCAAAGTTTGCACACCAAAGTCCATAAGTATAGAAAACCTACACTACTACCCAAAGCAAACAGTGGTAGTAATGCAAACAGGAGTTCTTAATGCAACCAGATGTAACTAAAGAATATGCCAGTTCTATCTGGGAGTGATTTACATCCTAAAACTGAGCTGGGTAAAGTGATATGTACCTGTAGTACTAGCTACTTGGGAGGCTGAGCAGGAGGATCATTTAACTCTAGGAATTTGCGGCCCGCCTGGGCAACACAGACTGTGTCTTAAAACATGCATACACATGGGGTTGGGGTTGTGGCTCAGTGGTAGAGCGTTTGCCTAGCATAGGTGAGGCACTGGGTTTGATTCTTGGCACCGCATATAAATAAATAAAAGTCCATTGACAACTAGAAAAAATTAAAAAAAAACATGCACACACACCCATGAACACACACACACACACAGAGTTCTAATTTCTAATGGTGGCAATTGACATATCTGTCACCCCTGGGGCTTACTTTTAACAGATTAATATTTGCACTATGAAAACTTACCATACTAGAAGGTACTGTTAACTTCATTTAGGCTTTTAATTTAAAGGGAAATAGTCATCAATAGCAAATGGCACTATTGGTTAAATGAGCAAACCAAATAACATTTTTTTCCCCAACAAGTTTTTTATATTAGGAAATACATGTAGTTATTTCTTTAGTAAGGGCAGAAATACTTGTGATTGAAATAAGTAATTTGGAAATAAGTGAAAATGAGCAAGTGAAATCAGTTATGCATCTGCTTTTTGCTTTTTATTTATTTAGATTCTTAAAAGTTTTAAACTCTTATAATTGTCAAGATTTTCAAGGATGATATGAAAGCACTGTGATATTTGCTTATATACTTCCTAGATATTAATAGACATGATAAATATTGGATTTTCAGCATATGCATAATCTAGGTTAAATCATCTAGAATTGAATATCCGCATCCCTGTACATAGATCACCACTAGCTGGGCAGCCATGTGACTTGCTTAGTACTATTTGAGCTGTTCTTGTAGAAACCAATATCTCCTCATGGCAGAGGCTGCTCATTGTCTACTTATTTTCATTCTAAACTTCCTTCTTTAATTCTAAAGTCCAATTGCTTATTTTTAGCAAAGTTTATGCCTGCACAGCTAGATAATTTCCTTGCTTGCCCTTCTTCTGACTTGGTGTGACCATGTGACCAAGAAATAACCAATGGGATATAAGCAGAAGTGATGTGCACAATTTCCACACAACTTTCAGAGAAGAAAATCATCTGTTGTCCATTTCTTTCTCTTCTTTCTTGTGAACAGGAACATGGGTGTGATGTAGAGTCAGCTTTGACCATGCAGATGAAGATCAGCCCCATGGGGAAGGCAGAGCCACAAGATGGAAGGAACCTCAGTCCCTGTGGATAACCTTATGGAGCACTTGTTCTAAGATGCCCTTCTATCTCTTGACTGTCATGGGTGAGAGAAAGAAGCTTCTGCTTTTTAAGCCATTATATTTGGAAGGCTTTTTAAAAGAGAGAGAGAGAGAGAGAGAGAGAGAGAGAGAGAGAGAGAGAGAGAGAGACACGGGGGGGGGGGGGGCACGAGCACATGAGCAGCTTAGCTGGAGTTCTAACCAATAAAAGATATTCACTTATATTCAGTGAGAAATCCATTTTCTTTCCATATATAAGTCATCCCCATTTTTTTTGGAGCAAACTAGGATAGTAGGGTTACGTTTTGGGGATGAAGGATGTCAGTATTGCACCATGAGATTTAGAAGTTTGATCTCCTTAACGAGAGAAGTCAGCACATTTACATTTTCTTTTCTGAACTTAATTTCATTCACATTAACAGACATTTATTGAATGCCTACTGTGTGCAAAACACTGTAAGAGTCCATAGGGATACACAGAGGAAGTAGGCGCAGTTTCTGCTCTCAAGGAGCTCACAATCTACCAGAGAAGACAGTACACAACACAAACAAGTACACTGGAAGATAGGATGCATATAATCATAAAGGTACAAGTGAGGTTCTGTGGAGCATAGAGCTGTGAGAGAGGACTTCCTTAGGGACAGGGAAAGAAGGAGGAGGTACTCAGGAAGACTTTTAGACAAGATATTGAATTTGAGCATGTTGAAGTATTGGTGGAGAAAACATGGGAGTTGTGGGCTCAGAAATGAAGCTAGGGGAGCTTAGGAAGCACATGTAATATTCAGAACTTTCTGGAGTATGGAGTATGAGGTGCATGGGAAGAAGAGATGAGATAGAACTCTAGGAAGGTAGTTTGAGGTCACCTAGTGAAAGGGCCTTGGATGTTATCCTAGAGACCTTAACTTTTTACTGATGGGGAAAGAGTAGAGAATTTTAAGTTTTGCAATTTAAAATCAACAGTACACTTTAAGATAGTGACTCTCAAACTTTAGTGTGTATTAGAATCTCATGGAGGTTTTATAAAAATAAAGATTTATGGACTAATTTCTCAGAATTTCTGATTCAGTGGGTCTTGAGTGAGGCTCTGGACTGAGCATTTTTTAGTCAAGTTCCCAGGTGATGTTAATGCTGCTTGTCTGGAGATAGCTCTCTGAGAACCTCACACTGCTATAGGAAAATGTTTCTGGCAGGTATATGGGGAAAGAATTGCAGGTGGAGGAGTCCAGAGGCAGATTAATCTGATAAGAAAAGGACAAAAGTATTGGAGAAGAAGGTGGCATATACAAATGTCAAATTTTATAGAGGCAAATAGACAAAACATTAAGACTACTTGAGTGTGGAGACCTGCTTGTGACATAGAGAATCACATTTCCCTCATATGAATGACAAAAATTATAGTAATTCTGTTATCTGAGACTGAGGCATAAAATGGAATCAGGAGTCTTGTGTGTGGGAAAATGATCATGCATTAGTTTAGAATGGCTGCATTTGAGGTACCAGTAAAATATTCATAGGGAGGTGCTCACCAGACATAACTCACAGGTCTGGAGTTTGAGAAGGAGAGATCAGAATTAAAGTTACATGAATCTAATAGTTAAAAATAGTGGAATTTGGGATGGAATATGAAGATACAGGAAGTGATGGCCAAGGACAAAGCCCCAGGATGAAGGATTAGGAGACAAAGAATGAGGAGGTAAGAAGAAAATTGGGTAACTAGGAGGGCAAAATATTCTAGAAGGCAGGGGTTGAAAGAGGAATGGGATGTTTCAATTGATGAAAGAATGATAGATAGAAAAGGAGAGAGGGAAAGCCATGGGATTTGCCTATTGGCAAGTCACTGGTGACATTGGGATCAGATTGAGGGGAACTGGGTGGGTGCATTCAGATGGCAAAGGATGGAAAAGTCAGTGGAAGGTGAGAAGAAGAGGCATAAGTGGATCAATGATCAAAGAAACCCAAGCGAAAGAGTTAGGGGAGGGATGAAGCCGGAGATTGATGGGGATGAAGGGCCAGAGAAAGTTGATATTCGTATCAAAAGACTTAAGCAAAGTTAATAGATGACAATAAAAAAGAGTGGCAGAAGAAAAGGGTGGGATGGGAGAGGACGGGGGAGGGAGAACAGGGGAATGGAAAGGAGCAAGATTACAGAAAAGTTGAGAGGGGATAGATTTAAGGGCTAAATGGAAGTGGTGAGGAGGCAAATCCATGCCTTCTCAGTAATTCAGAAGAGTGAAGAAATGGGGGAGGCCCTGGGTGAGGGGCAAGGAGCAGTACACAAGAATGTGCAGGTTTTCTGTCCTCCTGTCATCACTCTTGACCTTGTAGTGGTGAGCTCCTCCACAGGACTAGAACAGTCATTCTAGCTCAGGGGGGCTGAGGCAGCCCACTCTGTCTCTGTCTGTGGCTTCAGGTCCACCTGCACCTTCCTGGTCCCAGGGTGCAGTCTCTCGTGGAAGCCACAGAGATTCTGGGAGACAAAATTTTTTGCTCATTTCCTAATTGGTGGCCTTTGCTGTAAACAGATTTTCAACTTTTTATCTCTTTCCGAGTGCTCAATTGAGTAATTTAAATTTGGAGTAACATTCTCCAACAAAATTCTTCAAATAATATATTCTCTCATTTGATCACTGCGTTAAGCTTCTCCAAAAGTTCCCCAAACTTGACATGTACCTGAATCATGCTAGAGTGAGAGGGTGTATGGGAGGCTCACCTGGAATACATTTTGGAATGGGAGAAGGCCTAATTTGTCTGTCTGCAATGCATTGACCAAAGTAGATTTAGATGATTTCTTATTTGCTTATGTTTCATATTCATAGTAAAGGGGTTAAGAAAGTGCAAGTGCAATCATTGCCTGTTCTTTTTTAGAGAACAAGAAAACCTATTTAATTACGAACCAAAGAGAACATGCCAGATGTACTATTTGTGCCTGGAAAGAGTAGGCTATGTAGTCACAGTAAATGATTTTAGCTCAGGTCTCCAAGAACAGATGACAAAATGCCACTTTCTTTTTATTCTTTATGTATTCATGAAATTCTTGCTGGAATATGTATGCACATAGAGCCATAACCTCAGATTTAATGCCACACAAGGGCAAGTTATCAGATATTTGATTTACAAGCAGTAAGAAATTCTGCAAATAAATTTATGGGGGCATTCTTTAATTGCAGGATTAACTGAAATGGCTAGAGAAAATATACAAAAAGTACTTACTATTTCACTTTATTATTATTTCTATATAATTTCTGTTTTTATATGATAATGTTTATTTGAAATGAGGTACCACAAATAAGACCAGAGGTAGAAAACAGCACACCAAATAACAAAAGAAAAAAAGAAAAAGAAACCAAACAAACAAGACCACATATACTTACAAACTCTCCTGAACCAAGTATGTTCAAGAATTAGTAAGCTGTACCCCGTACCCCCCGTTCACTCATGAGGCTCTGGTAAAAGTCACACCTTTGGGTTTTTTACAATCTAAGTATGCTCTCGGCACCTAATGAGCTTTTTAAAAGCCAGCTTAAAGTCTTCATTAAAACTCGTGTACAACAGAGGGTTGATCAGAGAATTAACATAGCCAAGCCATGTCAAAAAATCAGCCACTTCAGAAGACACACTGTAGATGCTCAGACCTACAATCAACTCTTTGATGAAGAATGGCAGCCAAGACAAAATGAATGCACCCAAAATCAGTCCCAGGATGCGAGCTGCCTTGCGTTCTCTGGTGCTAGAGATTTGCTGGCGTTCCCCTGGGTGATCTAGATCATTGTCGAAGGGAGGGATCCTGATGGAGGTGTGGATCTTTTCAAACTCTGTGGTAGGGTCTGAGGTGGAGAAGTCAGACACGCAGAAAGTCTGTGTAAGTTTACAACTTGCAAAAGAATTCTGACTGTCTGTGCTTCTGTTGCTTAAGTGCCGGCTCGATCCCCTTTTCTGGTAAAGACTCTTGGCCGCATGGTAAATGCGGTAATAGAGAATCAGGATCAAAGTCAAGGGGATATAAAATGCCCCAAGTGTGGAGTAAATGGTGTAGATGACATGGTCATGCTGGATGGTGCACTGACTGGGGGGTGGGCTGAGTTGGCGGTGGCTCCTCCAAAACAGAGGGGGCATGGAGATGAAGATAGAGATGGTCCAGACGGTGAGGATCATCAGTCCAGCCCGCTTGGCTGTCCTCTTCCTGGCATATTCAATAGCATTGGTGATGGCCCAGTACCTGTCCAGGGCAATCACACAGAGATGGAGGATGGAGCAGGTGCAGCAGGTCATGTCCACACTCAGCCACACCTCACAGACGAAGTACCCAAGCTTCCAGCTGTCCATGACAATGTACATGATGCTCAGGGGCATGACCAGCACTGCCACCAGGAGGTCTGTCACCGCCAGAGAGCAGATTAGATAGTTTGCAGGCTGATGGAGTTTCTTGGTGGTGCAGATGGCCACAATCACAGCCGAGTTCAGCAACATGGTCAGGGTGGTGATAATCACCAGAGTCAGGCAAATAAACATCTTCTCTGTGATGGTCTTGGGTCTTACAGTGGTGCTGGCTTCTGTGGTACAGTTTGTGAGGTTCATCTTCCCCTTCTTCCAATCTACACTGCGGAGAAGCTATTAGTTATTTTCCTTCAGCTGGAGACTATGCAGCCTCGAATGTCTCTCATTTGTGAGGAGTCTGTAATTTCTTCAGCTACGCAGTTTATTGTGCACCGTTTACTGTGGGTCAAGAGAAGGGCCACAGCATTTCTTCTGAATGGAAAGTTCCTGAAAAATAAAATGTTACTGGTTAATGAATGAAAAAGCCACATTTTTCCTAGAAAACATGATAATATTTTGGATTTCATAAAATACCACACATTTTACATATAATTTTTTTAATCCTCTCTTTGAGTCCATCTTCACATTATTTCTCAAAGAATGCTTTTTTACAGTTAAATCCTCAAACTCTTTCTGATGAACAGATTACAAATTGTATGTCTATTTTGCCACCTAAATTAGTTTCTTATTTATATTTCAAGTTAAAAAGGGTTTTTTAATATTCAAAAGGATATATTCATATTATCAAAGACTTTAAAAATTCTGGTGCCATTTCTTTAAAGAAAAAAATTGTACTGTTTATAATGAATAGGCTTCAAAACACATTTTAAACTTTTGCAGCAATATTCAACTCCAACAGTACATCAGGGTCACAATGAGATTGTACACTTTTGTCTAATTACTTCTGACATTTTACATATCCCATTGTGCATTTCTTTGGAGAAAAGAGAGAGAAAAGCATATAATATAACTTTAATATTTGTGGCAAATTGTTCTCAGAGTAATACAGTAAGTCAGCTATGAAATAGCACCAATCACCAAGCTCAGTTATTGGGAGTAGGATGTTGTTCAGTGCTTGCCTAGCATGCATGAGGTCCTGGGTTCAATCTCCAGCACTACAAACAAGACAAATCAAAACAAATAACTCCCCCAAACAAAAATTCAATGCAAACCAAAAATAAACAGAAACTTGAATTCACTGTGGGTGAGGAAGATGGGAAAAGTGTGATTGGGTATAATGAATGCACGCTGTTTGCAGGTATGGAACTATCACACTGAACTTCATTGACATAGGGTCTTGATTTAACATCTAAACAGCCATCTTAAATGTTAACTGCCATCTTATGAGATAAGTATCGATTGTCTGTACTTCCTCTTATCCGAACTCCCTCCACCCCCATTAGTGACCTACCCCATGATACTATAACCCTAAGCCAATCCCAGAAGGACATGACCCCTTGACTCCTGAAAGCCCCATGGTGCCATTGACCTAAGCCAATCCCATGTTATTCCCCACCTGCATACCTCTGAGGCAAGCACCCCTGAGCCTATCCCATAGCGCCACAGCTACACCTCCAAACCCCTACCCCACAAAAGCTGAACACCCAAACATCTCCGGGGCCTCTCTCCACTCTATAGAGGGATGGCCTTTATTTGTCAGCTTTGACAAATAAACCTTTGTGTGGATCTCTGACTGGTCTCCATCCTTCATTTCTCGCTCGCCCATCTCTTGCTTTCTCACTTTCCTTTCAATTGATATGTTCAATTAATATGTTAATAATAAAATTAAATAATGATTAAATAAATGAAAATACATATATGACGAGAAATTTAAAGAGTGTTTAGTTTCAGTTAACATTTATGTTCTACGTATATACTTATGTATGTACATATGTATCTATCTCCCAGAGAACTGCGATAAAGCAGGTCAGTCAGTGAGATAGTAACATTTTAAAAGAAAGCTAAAGTCAAATATAGATGTGTGCTCATGTGAACTTGGCAATCAAGATCTGTATGGGAATATTCACAGCTGAAGGCTGCTGGATAGAAAGCTCATCACATTCTCTGATTTGAGTCCATGGAATTAGGTTCAGGAAGATTTGAAGAAAAATGGGTATTATACCAGTTTTAAGAAGGGACATCGATGGATGTGTATCAGAATTAACAGAAAATAATTTTGGCAAAGATGGTGGCAGGAGCAGTGAGGCATATGTTAAAACAGGGAGTGAATATGAATGGGTGTCATGAGCCATCCATAAGCTGTGTTTTCCTTTAGGATCTCTCCCTTTGACAATGATCTAGATCACCCAGAGGAACGCCAGCAAATCTCTGTGTGAGCTATGCGCATTTGAGTTTATGAGGAGACTGTCCTGATTGATGTTGCTGCCTGATTGGGCTGTGTGACAGTGTGTATGCCTTTTCTCTCGCTCTGCCTGTGAGCCCATACAGTACCTGAGATGGGTGTGTCTTTCCAAGATGTCAATCAACCTGCTGACCGCAAGGCTTCACCAAGCAAGACTCCACCCTTTGAAACTCAATCCCTTGCCTTATTTGGGTGGCATATTCTATGAATGGCTTATCCCCAATAAATAGGGGGGTTTCAGGTGTGCTTTCTCTCTTGCCTCTAGCCTCCCTTGCTCCCCTTGTCTTCCAGCATGGGAGCTGACACCTGAGGTCTTAGAGCTGTACTTGACTCCCCAGAAAGGTATATCTGTGTTTGTGTGGTTTTTTTAGTTGCCAGCTGGGGACAAATGGGATTTGAAGGATTAGGAACCCCAAGTCAGGAAGTAGGATTAAAAATCTCCAGGCTGTGGGTGAAGTCTATCCCTGGATATAATTTCTCCTACTCACAGAATTCACACACAAAAAAACAAAAACAATAGCAACAAAAAACCAAAACCAAGCAGGCTAGGTTGTGGCTCAGTGGTAGAGTGCTTGCCTAGCCTGGGTGAGGCACTGGGTGTGATTCTCAACATCGCATATAAATTAAAAAAACAAAGGTCCATCAGCAACTAAAAAACCCAAACCAAACCAAAACAAACAAACAAAAATTAAACAGAACAAAACACAAAACAAACAAAAACCAAACCAAAACAACAAAACTCTCAAAACCTGTAGGAGAGGAAGATGGGAGCCATTTACCCTTCAAATATAGAAAATAAAATGAAATAACAATGATTTCACTAAAGACTATAAAGGGGACAATTGTTTTAAGGTGGTCTGTGTCTTTCTGCCACTAAATGATATACTTTCTGCCTGTCTTTTTCATTTGCTTTCACAGTGTTTCTGTGGATGTACCTGCTTTAAGATGTTTCTTTAGTTCTTCCATGGGGGGTTTGCTGCGCCACCAACCCCTTGCTCTTTTGAATGTTTTTTCCTACACTGTTATATTTCTCTCCTTTTCTTAAACTTGTATTTGAGTCAGACTGTAGAATTGAAGGAGGATAAGCTTTGGACTCAGACAGATCTGCTTCAGATTCCAACTGGGCCACTGATTTATCTGCTTGGGTCAACCTCTCTGCATTTTTCTCAGTGTCCCAAGTGTTTAGTTCTTCATTTTGATGTCTATTTCTTTAACAAAATGCAATGAGTTTTCTTTTCTTTCTTTTTTTTAGTCTGTGTTTATTAATCCTCGGTTATGTTTTCTTGGGTTTTGGAGATTTGTTGGTTAAAGTAGTTCTCAACAAAAAAGCTTTTTCATTAATGGTAAGATTCAGAGTATAGAGAGATATACGGAGCAGGGACAGAAAACTTTATAAATGTCAGTTTATAGTAGAAGCAATTAGGAAAGACAGTTATTTTGAAAGCAGGCCATTAAACATATCAGAAGTAATTCAGCTTTATAGAGCTTTCAAACTCTGCTCTCTTCACTGAACTCCCTTATCTCCCAATTGTCATTTCTCTGATGACATCATTTTTCTCTCTTGGTTTGTAACTATTTTTCCATGCCCCCAGCAGGCTATCAATTTTTATCCCCTAGATGCCCAATGTATCTCTTTATCTATTTCTAATTAAATTATCAAAGAATTACAGGTTGGGGATCTCCATTCTTACCTCTCCATTGTGAATTTCTGGTTTATTTTGTGCCCAGGTCTTTTGGAGTAGGAGTTAAATTTTGTGACTTTGTATTTTCAGTCACCCTCAACTCCTGCACACATCCAGCTTGCCATCTTTTATTTTTTCCCTTTATTCCTGTATCTTGACGTTCGCTCCACAGCAACATATAGAACACGTTCTTGGGAATGGCTAGGTGAGATTGGGTCCAGGAAGACAACTGGGGGCTGATTGTAGATTGAACAGGTGTTGGAAATGGGCCCTGAGCTCTTCACTGTTGAGGAACCAGCAAAGCAGAGAGTGAAGCACAGCTACTGAAGTGAAAGAGACCGATGAGAGGAGATTTTATTTCAAGACCATGTGAAGAAAGCCAGAGTGATCAACTGTGTCCATGCTACCAACAGTGATAGGGACTTGAGCACTGGACTGGGCAGTATGATGATGTCAGTGATCTTGACAAGAACAGCTTGGTGAACTGATGGAAATGAAAGGCTGAATGTAGTGATTTCAAGAAAGAAGGGGAGGAGAGGAAGTAGAGACAGTGAATAAGAACACTTATTTCAAGAGTTTTGTTGAAAAAAGGAATACAGAAATTAGGTCATAGCTGTGGTGGGGGAATGTGGTGGTGGTGGTGGTGGTTTTCTAAGATGAGAGATTGTCTTATAACTAGGCTGATTACAATTTTTTTTTTTTTTGCTGCCACACTTTATACACCTCCTATTGAGACAGTGTTTTTGGAGCAAGTGACATATAACAGAGGAAGAAGAAAAGCAGTAAGGGAGGAGGCTGATGAGAGTCCCTCAGTGTTGTCTAGGAGCACGAGGTAGGTAGAGATCCTTAGCAATTTAGATTATTTTAGGGACTGTGAAGAGGTCAAAAATAACAGGCCCGCTCAGGAAATAATTCAATCTCAATTGCCTTATGTTTCCTTTACCTTCTTAAGAAAATCACACATGATTTTATCACCACTACCACTTTCTTAGTAGGCCTTGTGATTTCTAATTAGAACAGTGCTGGCTAAATACCACCTGGAAATCTCTTAAGTCTCTTTAGTTTTTTTACACAGTGGTGTAGGAGGGGCTATGATAACACTTAACTCAAAATATGCTCTGCAGAACTGATCCAAATGCTTATGTTACTACACCAAGCATTTATTAGTCCACTGGAAGGGAAAGTTAACTGCAATAATCATAGCTAAAAACAAATACATGCGATTCAAAAATTGATGCAGGAATTTCTTGGGAATTTGTAACTTTCAGTTTCTGCTGTAAGTATAACATGGAAAACACTTGTGCAGTCCAATATTGAAGTGGTTTTTTTTTTCATTAAAATTATGAACAAAAAGAATCATTCTAAATCAAATTGATTAGTGTACACGGCTTCCTGCTAACTGG